TATATATATATATATATACATACATACATAGTACTGGCCGATTGTGATGCATTAAAATATTTTCTTTACGATCAAATGGAATTTCATTATATTTATCACGTGTATTAATGTTTTATATTATTATTATTATATTTTGCACTTGTCTGAGGACAGACTGTGTGCCAAAAAAATCATGGTACGATAATCTTTATAAAAAGAAAATGTTCCATGATTGGCTGTAGGCTGAGTGCTGCCAAGTTGTCCAGGCCAAATCAGGCGAATTTTCTTGAGGAATCCACAACCGGAGCCTTCGGTTAGCCAAAGTCTGACTCGCAAGGCAGCGGAGCTTTGTGTGAAAACCGCAGTCCATTGGGGATAAGGCTTCCTCAGCAGAGGCTATTTGAGACGCTTGGTCGTATGGGAGCGTTTCGTGAGGTGCAAGGGCAGGGTGACCAGCCGTAACTCTGGACGCCCACGTCGTTTCTAGGCTGCGTGATTGTCATTCAAACGTGCCTGACCTTGGGTGCCAAGATTAAATGACCTGAACATGAAAACCGCAAACTTTATCAAGGATGACAACGCAATATTTTCCAATAGGAATGACTCAAGTATTATCCTAAATTATTTTCAGAAACCCTTGCCATCTCGCTTATTTGTTATGAGGCATTATTTTATCTAAAATATAATCCATTATAGTAACTCTATTGGATAACCAAATGAAATTCTTTCACAACCAGAAATTACATTTATTAGGGTTTCACAATAATAATCTATGCTTTATATCTAACTGAAATCAAGTTCATTTCTGTGCACAGCTTTGAATGTTCGTATTGTTGTCATTATAATGAAGCAAGCGGCACTCGAAACCAAAAGTTCCCCTTATCTCAGTGAAAAGGACGAACAGAATTGCACGAGCACACAAACTGGAATTTTCGATATTAATTCTTGCCCAATACTTTAACGTTAACAAAAGCACAATTAACAGGATAATCCACGGGAAAACAACAACCAGAACAGATTGTGGGGGCTTTTAACCGAGTACATCCAAACAGGAGGACGACCTGATTCGTATTACTCTGAAAAAAGTCATTTGTAGTGAGAATTTCTCAAAAAATGGGAGAATTTCTCACCCGCCGAGATTACTCGACTGGGCAGGAATAAAACATGGTCAGCCTTGTTGGTGGACATCAGTCAAAGGCACCATGAATAGTGGGCAATTCGCATCAGTGATTTCGAAAATGTTTCCAGAGTTTCATGAAACAAATCGTTTGAGAAAGTGATCGTTTTTTAGGATAACGCTCTGTGTCATGTTTCACGAGAAGTTAGTAAACTTATTTAGTTAAGCATTCTGATTCACTTTTTATTTGCTTTTAGACTTCAGAAAAGATGCGTGGCTCTAAGGTCCAGTTCATGCAACTTCCTCCTAATAGCCCGGATCTCAACGTGATTTAAAATCTG